CCGAGCAAGGAATTTACTCACTAAGCGTGGTGGAAATGAAGAACAAAACTAAACTAATCGTTAAAATCATCATCATCATTGCAAACAAACTATTAAGAATCAAATCAATCAATTAACTTGAAAATGCAAAAAATGATCAAAATCAAATGCAAAAGACTGAATTTAAAAAAAAAAGATTCTTACTAACTTTAATCAAATCAAAGGATTTGTACTTGCATTCAAAGTGGAAGGAAATCAAATGTAGAAATCATCCAATTCCCTCAAGTTTCACTCTCTAAAGTCTAAGAACTTTCTCTCTCTAACTTCTTTAATCTATTCTATGCCTCTCTATGAACTTAATGAATAATCTCTCTCTAGAATAACAAGTAAGGGAAAATAAAGTGGACGTCCAAAAGAAACCCGTACATGTGCGCCCTCACTCCGAAATGTGTGGCCGCGAAGAAAAGGGTACGAAATTGGGAACCCAGGTGGCACGCCCGTGCACGAGGGATGTGCTCCCGCACCTCAAGCCTGCGCGCCCGGTTCTACATTTGATCGTCCATCAATGCAAAAGGTGTGCTCCTAATGATCGTCATTGGGGATGGCAGTCCCAAAATGAGTTTACGGTGGGTTCAACACCATACTTTCATGAGAGCGCAGCATGAGGGCACAAGCATCAAGTCTTGGAGTAGGTCATCCCTTGCTTTGTAAGTTATATAAGAGCTTCCACCTTGCACTTGAGCATCTTCTAATCCGAGGAATCACCATGAAGGGCCTTGGACTCCACCTTTCTCTTGAAAATAACGAAAAACAGCCAAGGAAAAGGGAAAAGACAATAAAAACTACAAAAATACAAGAAAAAGGGAGAAATAACTAGAATGAGATCAATTAGGAAATAAAAGACTAAAAGTAAGGAAAAAGGCATAAAGAAAGCTATTAAAGCAACTAAATCGTCCCAAAATAATGCCATTTGAGTGCCATAAATGGCATTCTTTAAACTCCCCCAAGCTAAACTTTTGCTCGTCCTCGTGCAAAAACAAAAGCAAGTAGGAGTAGGATGAAAGATTTATTTCAATAAAGAAAAGGAAAAGAAGGGGACAAGAATATACACTAACTCACTTATGTAGGAATTAGGGTTATTTTTAGCTACAACAAGCCCTTAAAACCCCAAAGTCGCCAATGAGGATGAGTGAGGTTTCGTAAGGGTTTCCAAAGAGTTTAACCCATAACTCTAGCAACTAAAGTCAAGGTAAAGCAATAAAAATCACGAAATATAAAACACAAGAGCTCTTGAGTTGGACAATTGTAAAGGAAGCAAATGCCAATGAATAAGAGACTTCTTAGACAATAAAGGTATGCATGCTATAAGATGTCAATGGTTGATTGAAACATAAAACATGCTAAGCATAGAGAACTATAGGAGACTCAATCCACCCTCGTCCCCACTAGTCTTACCGCGTTCTCTCCACTAGCTTCAAATCAACCTTTGAGTTAGCTCCTCATGATTCCTCGAAGGAACTGGAAAAATATAAAGAAATGAAAAACATGAGATGGTTATCTCAACGTCTTAGCTATGCACATTCCTATATAGGCTTGAAAACCATCTCCCTCCACCGACTTATGTCTCAACCCTCTAAGGTCTAAAGGACTTTTCAAGGTAGTAATGTCATGGCTTAGGGTATAGGTGGGTGAAAATTTGAAAATTTGGTGGTAATTCCTAAGTGAAGCAAAAGAGTGGTCAAATCTCAAAAACAAGCTTAAGAAGTCACCAATTATCAAACAAAAACAAAGATTCCATCTCCCCCAAGCTTATTCAAGAAATACACCAAACTTTAACTCTGAAAAGAAAAGCAATGCTCCCCCAAGCTTAAACAAAGCATTGTCCTCAATGCTTAAACTCGGAAAACAATCACAACAAAGATATCATTGGTGCAATTCATGACATTTCACACTTATTGAACTATAAAAGCTCTTTCTTTTTTTTCATGTTGCTCTTATTTCTCTTTTTTTTTCATTGTTCAAAATGCAATGCTCTTCTCTTTGGTTTTCTTTTTTTTTTTTTTTTATAACTCTTAAAGATCAAATATTTTGCACCCTTTATTTCACAATTCTTGTTCTTCTTGCATATCACAAACTTGCCAAACATTTGAACTCTATCGCCATAAATCCAAACTATTGACAAAACAAGAGTCGAACCAAAGTAAGCTTCAAAACTAAGGGTAAAGGTCGATAGGCTTGTATTGTGGTTAGTTACTGAAAAAGTGGAAGTAAGCTGAAAGGGGTAGCAAGAGGGTGAATGTAAATCCCAATCAACAAACAATGAAATAAGCATATGCAAGTAAATCCCAATCAACAAACAATGATCGTTCGACCACAATGTCAAGGATCCCAAACACACTAGGTGTTAATAGCATACATCCTCAAACTATTCAACTCCTCCTAAGCTAAAACTATCTTAAAGTAACCAATGAAATAAAATAAAATAAGGGAAAATAGAAAGGACATAAGCATATGCAAGTAAATCCCATGTACCACTAAGGCCATAAATCGAACGATCATTGTTTGGTGATTGGTACATGAGTAGCCATCACTCATGTACCACTAAGAAGGAAATCATTGTAATACACAAGACCAATGTTAATTGTCCAAAAAAAGAGTGATAGAAAAACACATTTTGCAAAAAAATTGCTTTGACTAAGGTTGCTTAAAAGAAAAAGGGAGAAATAAAGAAGGAGTGAGAAGCTAAAAGGACATAAGCATATGCAAGTAAATCCCAATCAACAAAAAATGATCGTTCGACCACAATGTCAAGGATCCCAAACACACTAGGTGTTAATAGCATACATCCTTAAACTATTAAACTCCTCCTAAGCTAAAACTATCTTAAAGTAACCAATGAAATAAAATAAAATAAGGGAAAATAGAAAGATCTCACCTAGCATCCAAGATAAGCAAAGAAAAGAAGTAAAGAAGAGTTCACACTGATGAGTGGCATTTATGCCACCATTTCACCCTCTTTCATTAGAGAATTCCCCCGATTTGTCACTTGTTTAAGCCTTTTCTCACCACTTTTTCTTCTATTTTAGTTACTTTAGCTTCCTCTCGTGTTTTCCATTCCCTTTTATCTTTTCTTCTACTTTTTACCTTTTATTTGTGTGTTTTGATAGCTCCTAGCACTCGTGGGCAAATTTTGGATTGTTAGATGGAGTGGAGATGCTAATGAAGCTTGCCAAAGGAAGAGGAGATGCCACAAGGGAGAGGGCGCGCTGCTACATAGAGCAGCGGGCGCGGGCCTCACAACCGCGGGCGCGCACAGGAGGGATCCTAAGCCACCAGCAGTTTCTAGAGATGGCCAGCCGCGAGCGCGGCGTTATTGGCTGCGGACGCGGCATCGAAGACCCGCGGGCGCGACAATCAGGGCCGCGGACGCGACGATCTGGGTCTGGCAAACTTCTTACCCAGCTTGGAGAGGGCGCGACAGCCTGTTTGGGGAGCCCTCTCCCTTGCCCATTTTCTTCATTATAATAGAAGACTATAAATAGCCTTGAGCTTGAGTTTTCAAGGGAGAACTATTCCATTGGCATAAAAACACTTTTTAGAGAGAGAAAATGCATGTCTCTTAGAGTAAGAAAACACTTAGTCTTCAAGATTTAATCTTTGTAATCAAATATTCAAGCTTTCTTCTAGATTGTTGCAACTACTTTGATGATTGGGTAATATTTCAACTTTTATAATAGTAATCTTTCCTCTTTATTCTCTAGTTGTTAGTTTTATTAGTTCTATTGCTCTTATTTATGCTTTCTTCCATAAATTTCCATGCTTTATTGGTTTCATTGATTTCTCTTTGACTTAGAATTGTGCTAGGTTGCGTTAGTATTGAATACATGTTTAGCTTAGTTGTCATGGCTATTTTCCTTTCTCTAGCTTACATTTTTAGCTAGGGAAGGGGGTGAAAATCATGTTTATTTGAGTTCCTATTGATTATTGTATTGATTTTACCTTGATTTGATGATTTGTGATTAAATATGCTTGGAGTTATTGTGTGCACCTTTAAACCAAATGTTTTAGTCCTAGATTAGTTGCATGAGAATGATCTAGTTTAGGGTTGATTGATTTCATCAACTTGCTTTGAGTAGTTGCATGAGAATGAATTGCTTTGAGTAGAAGTTGAACTCCTTGGTATATTTCCTTATTGATTTTTATTAGTGTCTTATTGATCATGATTGGAACCCCCTCTCCCTAGTGCTTTATGCCATTATTACCTCTATAATCTTGCTCTTCATCTTCATTTTAGAGTGTCTAGTTTAATCTTCTTAATGTTGGTTTAATTTAGTCTCTTTTTGTAGATAGTTTGATCATAGAACTCTTAAAAAACCAAACCATAATACCCCTTTTTGTTACTTGCAATATATCCTAGATTTCGTATTGATTGTGCAAAACCCCCGTTTCCTTGGGATTCGACCCTAACTTGCCACTATCTAAATTAAAATTGATAGAGCTAGGTTAGGAGATAAAAATTGTATATTTGATCTAGGTAGTAGTAACGACCTATTATCCACCGATCACACACCTTTACGTAGCTCCAAGAAAGCTAAACTTGACCTACAAGACAAGATAAGGAAAAGAAATGAAAACAAACCATACTCAAAACCAATATAAGTAACTTCAAAATGAAATCAAGTAATGAGAAAAGAAAAATTAGAAGGCCGGGTTGCCCCCCGGGAAGCGCTAGTTTAAGGTCCCTAGCTTGACCCGCCTTCCAAATCACAGAGGGTCAAAGAAGACCACCTTGTCCAAAGTGGTGGAGAGGGTAAAGTCATTACCAAGCTTGGGAAAAATCACATCATGAGACATATCATCTTGAATCATAGAAACCAGATCAAACTTGTTATGCTTCAACTTCTCTTTCTTTTTCTTGGCAGCTCTCTTTTTCTCCTTGATTTCTTCTTCTTTGGAGTTTTGAGCTCCACATGACCAACACTTGAAAAACTATTCTCGTCATCCTTCAAAGAAAGCTCAAACTAAGAAGGCATTTTAAACTCATTCTCTAGCTTTGAGGACTCCTTGTCTTCTTCACTAAAAATCTTGCTTTCAACACATTTAGGAGTATCATCACAAGCTACAAGCATATCATTAGTAGAAGACACAAACCTGCAAGCATCATCAATCAAGGGAAATTAATTAATGCACATAATTCCTTGCACGTAGGATAGAGACACATGCATCGATTTAAGCTTAAAACTTGCCTTATCATTACCAACACACAAAGTAATAATGCTGCCTTTCACATCAATTAAAGCCCCCGAAGTCGCTAGGAATGGTCTCCCTAAAATGATAGGAATATTGTCATCTTTCGCAATCTCTAGCACAATGAAGTCAACGGGATAGTGAACTCTCCTATCTTGAGGGGGACATCCTCGACTGTACCGTTAGGGAACTTAATAGAATGGTCGGCCAATTATAGGGTCATCTTGGTTAGGAGGAGCTCACCTAACTTAAGCTTCTTGACGACGGAACATGGCATGATGCTAACACTAGCACCAAGATCACAAAGAGCATTTTGGAACAATTTGCCATTGGTATTGCAAGGGATGGAGAAATTCACCGGGTCTTTCATCTTTGGGGGAAGGTCATTATAGATAAGAGCACTACAACATTCCCCAACACTCACCGAATCAACCACATTGCACTCTCTCTTACCACTCAAGATTTCCTTAAGGAACTTAGAATAGTTTGGCATTTGTTGCAAAACATCGGTGAAAGGAATAGAAAGATGAATTTGCTTTAGCATCTCGATGAATTTCCCAAATTGTTCATCCAATTTGTGCCTCGTGAACTTTTGGGGGTACGGAAGTTTGGGTTTGATAACCTCATCTTGCATTCTATCTTTCTTATTGGCCTTCTCATTAGAACTCTCACCCTTCTTGCTAGACACGTTATGCTCTTCATCATCAAATAAGTCACTCACCTTTTCCTTCTCTTGACTCCTCTTAGAAACTCTATCCTCTAGCACTATGCCACTTCTAGTGGTGATATAATAAACCGGTTCCTTGGGGTCAAGACCTTGGGAAGGTAAAGAAGAAGGGCTTGTATTGTCTTTCAAAGCACTAGCTAAATTAGGGATTTGGTTCTCTAGCATCTTATTATGGGTCATCATTTCATTGAATTTCTTATCACTAACCGACATGTAAGTGTTCAACAATTTGGTTTGAACTTCAATGATTTCCTCCAAATTAGACCTAGAAGAAGAAGGTTGAGCATAAAAATTATCACCTTGACCTTGGATTTTTGGAACAAAACCGGGTAGGGGACCTCTTTGAGCATTGTTTTGAAAGTTTCCCCTATTTTGATTTTTCCAATTACCCCATTTTGATTTTGTCCATAGCTTTGATTATGGTTACCATAACCTTGATAATGATGACCATAACCTTGGCTTAAGGTTATGATGACCATAACCTTGGCTTTGATTTTGGACACTATAACCTTGGATGTTATAGTTACCTTGCAAATCTTGGTTTCCTTGGTTCCTATAACCACTACCTTGGTTATAGTTGTCAAAATTGTCTTGGTTGTGATAATTCTTATTCCCTTTGCTTCTTTGATTATCAAACCTTGAACCATTGTTGTTATTGGACACATTATTCACATGCTCATTCACATTATCATCAAAATCATCACATCCATCCGAAAAGGCATGAGGGCAATTAGAAGAATCCCCATGCTCATACGAACCACATGTATCACAAAACAAGCATCAACTAGGCATGTTATTGGAAGTAGAAAGAGGAGTAGAGTTGGAAAATGTACCTCTCCCCTTATTTTGGGAGGGAAGAGTAGGTGTTAGAGATGAAGCACTCTCCAATTTGGCCTTGATGGAAGTCATCTCCTTCCCTAGATTTGAGATTTGTGAGGATAAGTTGTTGATGGCATTAAGGTGATCAACCGACACCGTAGAGCCACTCTTGCTTGTTGATTCTTACTCACCGTCTTGCTAATCCATATAATTCCTCACTACATCTTCAATGATATCCACAACTTCCTCTTCCGTTTTGTTCATGATGGGTCCTCCGGCTCTCCCGCATCAAGACAAGATTTTCCTTGAGGGCTTAAAACACCATACAAGATTTGAATGATTTGGTAGGTAGGAATTCCATGGTGAGGACCCTCCCTTTGGTACTCTTTGTACCTTTCCCAAGCTTCATAGAGGCTTTCATTGGACCTTTGCTTAAAACTTTGGATTAAAGCCCTGGCCTCCGCCGTTTTCTTTTGGGGGTAAAACCGAGATAGAAATTCCTTAGTAACCTCATCCCATGTCCTTAGTGAGTTAGGCTTGACTTCTTTATCCAACCATTCCTAGGCACGCTCTATGAGAGAAAAGTGGAAGAGCTTCAAGAGAATGAACTCTCGTGAGACTCCGTTCACTTTGATATTGTTGCAATACTTTTCAAATTCTTTGAGGTGGTTTAGAGGACACTCGTGCTTGGCCCCACTAAATAGTCTCCTCTCTATCAAAGTCATCATTGCCGGTCTAGTTTTAAAATCATTCGCCGGTGTTGTAGGTGGAACAATCCCGCTCTCAAACCTATATATGCACCCGAAATTCCAAATTCCTTCAATGCCACTCTTGGGTTTTCTCCCATGCTTGCTTGTTCTTCTTCTTATCTTGGAAGACTTGAGGAACGCCTAGCAACTCTTATCTTCGTAATTGTCCTCTCTATTTCTGAATCAAGTGGCACTAGAGAACGACCACGTGCTTTATGCATACAATCTCAAAAGAAAGTATTAGTAACACGGCTACCAATGTAGCCAAAAAAGGAAAAAAACATTTTGCGTATTTCAAATAAAATGAAATAGACATAACAACTATAGCAAACAACTACGCCATTCCCCGGCAACAACGCCAATTGAGAGAGGGTCAAAACACATCAATAAATGCTTAAAACCCTTATCAAAAAAATTTATAACACTCAACCAAACCTAAATCGAGTATAGGGTAAGTCGAGGGTCGATCCACGAGGAATGGGGGGTCAATCACTATAGTATACGCGTTAAGCTATTTTGATGAGTAGTTGAGTGAGCTAAACAATCAAAGAAAAATTAGATTAAAAATCAATATCAAAAGCATTAGGGATTAGGATCCACATACAGTCATGATAGTTATGCTAATTAAGAACAATCAATCAACCAAATGTTGCAAAGGAAAATAGTAATTGCAATTAAGAGAATCCAATAGGTTATCTCCTAGATGTCAAACTAGGTTTCATTTATGAATGACTAGCAAGAAAAATCACAAATCAAATTCAATCGATAAATGTAATCCCCAAATCAATGGTTCGTGTCATTAGAGATCACAATGCAATCTAGCTTGAAAATCTAGGTTAGCTACTCCTTAACAATTTAAACACATGCACAATTCTATCAACCAATTTAATTACATCATTCAAATATAACAATTAGCAATGATCCTAGAGCAATAGATCTCCTCCGTGCGTCCATCAATGCAAGTGGTGCACTCCTGATGATCGTCATTGGGGATGGCAGTCCCAAAATGAGTGAACAGTGGGTTCAACACCATACTTTCATGTGAGCGCAGCGTGAGGGCGCAAGCATCAAGTCTTGGAGTAGGCCATCCCTTGCTTTATAAGCTATATAAGAGCTTCCACCTTGCACTTGAGCATCTTCTAACTTCAGGAATCAGCATGAAGGGCCTTGGACTCCACCTTTCTCCTGAAAATAAAGATAAGAAACCATGTAAAAGGGAAATGACGGTAAAAACTATGAAAATACAAGAATAAGATGGAGAAATAACTAGAATAAGATCAATTAAGGGAAAAAAAAGGGAGAAACTAAGGAAAAAGGCATAAAGAAAGCTATTAAAGCAACAAAAATCATCCCAAAATAATGCCATTTGAGTGCCTTAAATGGCACACGTCAGCATGCAGGCTGCTGCAAGGCAGGCTGGGCACACATACCACAAGCACAGCATGTGAGCTGCTGTTGCAATGCTGCTATTGCTAGCAATCGCTATCTAGTTGCTGCTTCAATGCTTATTCTATGCGTAGCCCACCACGCAAGCATGTGAAACCCCCAGCACACGTAAGCATAGCGTGCTGCTGCTGCTGGTGCAATGCTCGTGCTAGGCGCAGCCCAGCATGCTACTACCTCGCGCGCAAGGCTCAGCTAGCATGTGTTGCGGGCCTTGCTTGCGATGGTGCGGGATGGCTGCTGCCATGCTTATCATGTGCAGCTGGTCCTTGGCAGGCCTTGCCTTGCACGCATGGCTGGCTCGGCCAGCATGCTAGGCATGCTGACCTTGCAGCCAAGCCTTGCCTAGCGGCAATGGCTCTGGCTAGCCATGCTAGCCATCTTAGCCCTCGATTTGCTAATCCACTTTGAGGCTAGGTTTTTCTTGTGCGATGGCTTGTTGTTTGCCTGATTCCTCGTCTTGTCGATTCCTAAAATCGATTTGACTTACGATGCTCGCTTTCCGACGCTCTAAGCTCGGAATCCGATGTCTATGTTTGTAATACTCTAATGACTCGTCTAATCCTTCGGATTAATTCGTCGTTTTGATTCGGTTACTCGATTGGGTGTGTCCCGAAGGGTTCATTTAAGATTAAGCTTTAATGTTAATTATACATTAATAATACTAATCGAAAGCGGCCTCCAGCTAGTCATTCCGATCACTTGACCTCACTGAATAATTAGCTTTCTAATAATTCTGAACCCAATATCGGAATAATACACCTGTTTGAAGGACACCATTCCTTTCAGGGGGAGTTCCTGGAACATGTTGTTGTTGTTATTAGTTGCAGATATGTTTCCACAACTGAAAGATTTCGCAATGAAAAACCATTCATAAAACAAATAAGTTCGAAATTTAAAACATACATGCAAATTTTCAATCATATTAAGCGTTTTATCTACACATTTAAAATTGATTAAGCTTGCTTTGGCTTGTCCTAACACTTAATATTTAAGGTAAGCAATCTAATTGTTAATAGCTCTAACTGAAAGAAATGGTGTCCTTCGAACAAGTGTATTCTTCCGATAGAGGGTTCAGAATTATTACGGATCTAATTCTTCAGTAAGATCAAGTGATCGGAATGCCTAGGTGGAGGCCGCTTCCGATCAGTAATATCAATGTACAATTGATGTTACAGCTTAATCTTAACTGAACCCTTCGGGTCGAACCCAATCGAACCACCAATCCAAGACGACGAATTAATCCGAAAGGATTTAATGAGTCAGCAGAGTTTTACAAATACAGACGTCGGAAATTAAGCCTAGGGCGTTGAGATCGAGCGTCGCAAAATCACAAGCGACAAGTACGAGTGTAGCAGTAGCACCACAATGGTCTAACCATGTGAATGCTAGGCTAGTTCGAGCTAGCATGCACCTAGCATGGCTAGGCGCAAGCCTAAGCACACAAGGTGTGCTAGGTGCACCATCGCAAGCTCAAGGTGCACCATCGCAGCCTAGGCGTGCACATGGCAGCCTATCGCAAAACACCACAAGCCCCAGGCAGCTAGCAGCGTGATAGCCTGGGTGCGCATGGCAAGCTATCGCAAGCACCACAAGCACCAGGCAGCCCATCGTAGCTAGCAGCGTGCTAGCCTAGGTGCCTAGGTGCGCAAGGAAGGCTATCGCAGCACCCTAGCACCACGCACAACACAATCGCAGTGCTAGGCACCTGCGTGTGTGCGTGTGCGTGTGCACCGTCGCCCAGCAGCACGGAGCTGTGTGCTTGTGTGCGTGCCTTCGCATGGCAGCACCAAGCACAGCGAGCTAGCAAGCAGCACTGGCCTTGCGTGTGTGTAGGCACCATCGCAGGCCACGCACCAAGCACAACGCACCTATGCGTGTGCGTGTGCGAGTGCTAGTGCGTAACTGGCCTAGGTGTGCGTAGCTATGCGAGAGGCGATGCCCAGTATGCGTGGCTCGCTAGCAGCACGCATGCTGGGTGGGCAAATGCGTATGGGTGCGATAGGGAGTGCTAGGCAGCCACCAGCGCCTAGCGCCTAGCTAGTAGGCAGCATCGCCTGGCTAGCTAGCGAGCAGCAGCGCCGGGCGTGCAGTGCATGCGAGGGAGCTGCTAGCCAGCCTTGTGCTAGTTGGCTGGGCTGGCTGGCAGTGCTAGCTGGCTGCAAGCCCAGCAGCCCTTAGTGGCGGTTTTGTGAGGAGAGT